AGGACCCACGTGGGGAAATCAAAATCCAGTGATGACAGGAGGTTTATGCAGAAATTTAATGCTCTTCATGTGTATATTTATGCTCTACGAAGAGCCCATAAGAAAATAACTTGTCATTGTAGTATTAGACTGCAAATCAACCGCATGTTATGTATAATGACGGACAAGTAGAGACATGACAAAACCTAATTGAGCAGTAATGATTCGAGGCGTGTTACTGTGGGATCGCTGTCACACACTTGGACATGATCTCAATGAACCAACAAAGTACACAGAGTCAGATACAAGCACAGCGGTTTAAATAATGACCTGTTAATCAGTGGAAATACCACGCTGACATTCACACGTGTTGATTTGCATGAATAAGTTATAAACGTGGCCTTATACAGATCAATTATGAGATTGCTTCCTGAATAGATTTCTCAGCAGATCGACCTCCTAGTATAGTTAAGCTTGAAATTATGCTAAAATCACGTATCTGCTATCATAAAATCAAATTGGTTCGCTTGCATTCAAACCACGAAAGCGGACCGAGACCAACCTTTTCAAGCGTACCCTTCCCCACCTGGCAACTGCTAAAGGCCCTGTGGTACAAGTATCATGCTGGTATCTGCCAGTGCAGCATGAGTGACATAACTTGTATAAGTGCCTTAATAAGCCAATAGAAGCAGCAGTGGCATACCGATCAACCGCAGAGAGACGGTACAGCAAGAGTTGCATACCATCAGGATATGTTGTGTTGCGGCCGAGTTAGAACTGCAGAATGTTTAGCGATTATTCTGTAAAAGTTTAAGCTGCAGGGTCTAACAACATTATTCTCTCTATTCTCCCAGCAATGAGTACTGCACTGTGGGAATGTACTCTGCTTCTTCATATAGCACTTCACAAACAAACACTGTTGGTATAAAAACATGTCGGGGCTTCGTCAGATCAACCGTCGAGCTGTTAACTGTCTTTTAAACAGCAGAAGACACAAGAGCCGGAGTTTGCAGACAGCGGTTGGCCTTCCTCTGGGCTGGTATGCTCCGCCCGACCTCATTTAAGGTCTGTCTCCATGGCAGACGTCGCCAAGGCCATCGTTTAATTACACCGCACAATAAAATTCAACATCAAGGGCCTCTGTTTAACTAGGATAAGGGGAACCAGAGAGGCCATCTTAAGTGGCGTCTGCGCCTGCTGTGAGGCTGGCCCTTCTGCTCAAGCGTCGCTTGGCGGGCACGGTGCCCCCACCCACCCCCCACCCCCCCACCCCACCAGGCCCAGCTGCAGGGTGGCTGCCAAGCGGATCAGGACTCGAGTGTATCCGAGGGAGCCAGGCATGCCACCTGGGCACTATCCGTTACAGTAGGACGCTGTTTACACAGAGGAACAAGGGAGGGTAGGAACAGAGTGCAGATGTTTTTCGTGCGAGACTGACAGCAGGATTAAGAGGGAAATGAGTGCAGATTTTTGGACTCTTTGTAAACAGAGGACCACGAGTCTTATCAGGCTGTCTTCGTCTCTGAAGACGGTCCTTGTTGCTTGTGAAATGCTGGGTACAGGACGCATTAATCTACATGCCGTTTGTGTGTAGGAGCCCTCACAGGTCTGCTGTTAAAGTTCTTCTCCAGAACCACAAGGACTCCACTTCAATGGAAAAAATAAAAAGAACAAAACAATCAGGAGCAGATGCAATTGTTGCATTTTGAGGTCTTTTTCTACACGACGGCCTCCTCTTCACGCTCCTCTTACTAGTTAATTGCAGCGCTGCCACAAGAGTGCCACGATGCCGGCCTGCGGGCTGTTATTAGCTCTGCCCTGTCATTAGCTCCTGCACCGTTACTGAGTTAAAGCCCGGAAAAAGCCACAGATCACACGGGACACAATGAAGATCAGCAACGTCACATTCCCTACAATCACAGCTATCATCACTGGCAGTAAGTAGCCCCGCTCTTCCTGCTGAACCCTGTCTCAAGATGATCAAAGCAGAACAAAGCCTCGGAAGACATACGCACTTACCGCCACTGAGCAGCTTCATGACCAGCCACAGCTCGTCCTTCACCACGAACGAGGTGTAGTAAGACACGATGTTGGGGTGGTGGCACTGGCTCATGGCTTGAATCTCTTTCTGTAAGAGGAAAAAAATAATAAGAGACACTTACAAACCCTTCAGATGATCTAATGACAGACTTGTTATTTGCCACTGACCCAATAGAAGTGCTGTAATCTGGCACTTTATCACATCATCATTTGGTGGAAATGGATTAAAGTTTTACATCAGAGCCGGTGCCTTTTTATTATGTCCTTTATTATTAGTTCTAAACCTGAAGCAGCAAGCAAACAACCATTTTTACAGCGAAATGACGCATGAAACACACAACAAAGTTTACTTTTCCTTATGTTTTCATCCAAGACAGATAGTGCCAAGTAACTAACTATTCTCATTTAGCTCGCACAAGAAAACAAGTTTTGAGGAAAACCTGGAGGAACTGAACACAGGCTCAATAAAACGCCTCATACTTTAATGCTGCCGCTGTTCTTGAAATTTAGTGCGATACTTAAGATCTTAATGACGTCAGTAGTCAGAAGAGAAACAGGCTCGGTCAATATAACGCATATCTATGCAGAAGAGAGCAAACAGCCGGTACCCAACCCTTTATACAGCTGTAAGCTCTCTTTCTCTGTGTGTGTGTGTGTGTGAGAGAGTTTGGAGAGCAAGGGCGCTGAGGTAATGCTGGCACAGAAGTCTAATCCGTCACTTCAGCAACAGCCCTCGAGTCATTTGGGAATAGACGAGCTTCCTAAGAAAGAGAAAGTCGAGCTGACTTCAGCGTTGGGTCCTCTGGTTTCAGAGGTTTTGCTTCCGTTTCTGCACATTATTGACAAATAACTGAAACCCGTTACTGGAGCTCCACGATGCTCGTCATCTCTGCACTTGTTGTGATCATTATTGCTCAATACCTAACGGAAATGAGGTAAACTAAGATGGTACAACCTGTGGTGAACTTTGCAAGGATGTCTAAGAATAATACTGTGTATATAATACTATAAATATCCGGGGTGTGTTTATACATCTTATTCTGCATTTCCCTCCTTTTCCCAGTCTTGGTGTTCAGCTATGCTAAACATATGCCAAGTCTGCAGCATCTCTGTATTGAACGCACTGAGGTGAAATCAATATCGACCTTCTCATCTAATTGCGGGTTTCACCGCAAACGACCATATTTCTCCAAATCTCAGAGCGTCATTTAAAAATAGCTATCGAGTGTGTCCACTGGGGAACGTTCACGCTCCGGCTGAAAACATTTGTTAAAAAGGGCATCAATCAATAGATGCGTGTGGGTCATCATCAGCATTAAAGCTCAGCTTAGACAGTGTGCATTAGCAGCAGAACGCCTCTGCAGGGGAGTCACACACACTAGTGGAGGGGAAAAGGTGGACGACAACAACAGCAACAACAGGTGAGCCAACGCACCACTCTGCTCCCAAACTTCAGCATTTTTTGATTATGAAGCAGTCGAATAACTTCCAGTCTGTCGGGCCAGACAGCGAGCTCTGCGGGTCGTCTCCCTTATCGCTCTTTCTCTGGAGACTACAGGCTGTGAGATGAACAATAATGATATAGCCTGTTGGATGCTAACTGGCTTCAGTGGAGCCCCCCACCCCTCTGTTCACAGCACGGTGGAATAGGCAGGTCATCGCAGCTCTGTGGGCCAGGGTAACCCCAGAACAGACAAACAATGGGATAACAGGGAGGCTATCATGCTCTGGCAGTTGGCAAGTTTTCACATCTTTTTCCCAGCAGACAATGCGAGAGGCTCTTTGTCTTAGATCACTGTACACCAATGCTGCGGCAAAGACTGCTCAAAGCCAGTCATATTACTTCCATCTGTGTGAGCTTTAAGTTTGAGGGAATTTTGTTTGCAGAAAATCTTATTGCCGACTGAAAAACAAAGATATTTTAGATCTCTGCATAATCTGCAACATCTTGATGTCACCGTCTATGTAGAGGTACATCATGCACATGTACTGTAACTTCCCCTGCATGAGTAATAGCATTCATTTTCTATTGGCCACTGCATGGCAAGTGGAGCACATGGCTAAAATACTCAGTCTGAACGTGAGTTGTGTTGTATGGTGATCATTATCTTGAGATAAAGCTCATCCAACCAGTCAAGGAAACCATCAGCTACAACAAGGACACGCTCCACCACCGCTCTTTATTTCTTACAGCCTATTGTCTCGTTAGTGAAGACTTTCTCCTTACCGGCAGTGGTAACTCACAAATCTAGGACATCTACATCTAGCTATAGTCTCTTTCCTACCTCAAGACACAATAACATTTCAGGGAGAATGCCGCGGTACGCCCGTGTTGTGAACGAAAGGGTTACGTCCGCCTGATGAAAGACCCTCTTATCGTGGAGCGAGCGAACCAATCAGACGGAAACGTTCCTGAATGCAGTGCATGTGTGAATAGCGAGAATAGCTTGAGGCGCCTTAAAAAGGTTGTCCCAGTGATGTACTAGGAAATATGTGTTAAAAAGCCTTAAGTCTGTTATTGCCAAATATAATAACAAGGGCCAATTACAGGATTCAAGAGCCAAAAGTGATTCCTTTGAACCATAAAATATGGAATCATCATCAATTATAACTGTGAACAGAAACAGGGAATCACGTTGTCTCTGGTTGTGGGTTGTTGCAATGACCTCACCCTAAGACACAAGGCATTCAGAGAGGTTTTAATCAAATGTGGTTGTAATGAGCGCTCAGTCATCCTCGGCATCACATCCGGTCTGCTTAGAACACCTCATAACCACATCTAAGGAATTCAAAGCATGTAAAGTATGCAGAGCTTTCATCACTCCTTTATCTATTGGCAGACAGTATGTTACGATACTGGAGGATGATGTAATGATGAATGAATGAATGAATGTTTCAAGTCTTTTGAGGGCGAGACTCAAGTCAAGTCTTCAGTCACTGTCTGTCTTATAGAGTCAGTCACCTTTCACTGACATCTCTCCAGCATGTCACGTCAAATTCCTGTCTGTGCAAAAATAAAGAAGTAAAAAGTGAAATAGGACGTTCATTGTAACATGAGTGATGTCACTGTTGTTTATTTAGTAACTAGAACTGAAACGTAACTGTTCCATCTTGTTGTGGGTTTATAAATTAACATTGACGGCAGAAATCCAAGATCTAAACCTTAAACCCCTTCAGTGGGTTTAGCGTACACATTCTATACAGGTTCTCCAGGAAATAGACCAGGCCATAACCATTTGTTTTTCTGTCTTAGGCCTACTCTGTGCAGTATTCGGCGTGTCGGAGGGCTTTGAAACGGAGCAAAAAAAAATAAATAAATGACCTATTGTCACAAGCTGAATGCTGTGCTGGGTCACAAACTGGTGCCACAGAATCACACTGATGGCAGAAACACAGAGAAGCCACTATTAGCAATGTTACATCACTATCAGTTACTCAGAGCCTAACACACACACGCACACTGTGTGACCCAATCACATTACAGCACACTCACACACACAAACTCGCACGCAAGAAACTACTGAGGAACGCCACTGTCGATCTGCAATTGATGGGGAAAGCTAGGAAAATGTGATCTTAATGCTGAGACCACAAACATGCCTCTGAATCACTTCCTTCTGCGTGATTCAGAGTTCCTTTTCCGTAAACAACCATTTTTACCACTGACTCAATATCTTTCTCAGGCCACAGAAGGTGTTTTGAAGAAGCAAAACATCTTTATACTGTGTTGTAAATCAGCTATTACCACATAGGATCACTCAAGATGTTTCAATAAATAATTAAAGCTAAATAATTGCAACAAGTGTGTAAATATGCAAGAGGATACTTCAAGCGAACGCACTCAAATTGTAAACAAACCTCCTCCTCATCTCGTCTAACTTGAGTCACTCCAAGGAGCCTATCCATCAAACTGCCACGCCAGGAATAACCACAACCATGCCACTGCATATGGAGACGCAGGAGACATGACAGATCATTGCTCTTCTGACGTTAAAAGTATTTCACAGGCAAGACCTGCTAAAACTGACGGCATCTTCTTTTAAAGCGATCTGGGTTCAATTTGATGCTTCCGCGCCGTTTAACTAGGTACCCATTAGGCTGTGGAATTGGGGGGGGGGGGGGGGGGGGG